TCTTGTATGAAGTCATCCAGGGGTCCTGACCACCCTGTTGACTTTTCCCCAATAAAAGCCATTACACTCATTGTCCGCTAGCTTACAAACAAGAAACCCACAGTGGCCGATTATGTGGTTGTGGTATTACAAGGTGGCCACAATAGAGCGATACTTCGTCTACAACAGTTTGATTAGGTCACCAAGTTCACCACAAACTTCCTTGCAAGGAGGATATTTCTTATGAAAAGGATGAGCTCCCGGAATATGTTCGCTTCAGACTGACATGTTTTTTCAGTACTTGTTGACTCTAAGTATGGTTCTATGATTTATTTGTACTGACTTTCAGCCGACTGGCATGGCTTTGCAGTTCCAAAAAAAGGGGGTATTTTTTTCTTACCGCTCTGGTTGGATTCTCAGCCTGTGCCAATTTTGCCCTTCAGTCCAATGAGCTGTAGGTAGAAGCTGCCAAGTTGTAGTCTTAACGCACTGCTCTGTACACTAGAGGCAATGGAGGAATCCGGCTTCTGTGCTGTTCAGCAGTTTTGTCAATGTGGCTAGGTATGTTTCTGCCAAATAAACGCTCTCCTTGCCTCCTGCCAGTAGTGATTTATGGCCGAATACATCCTTGCCCTGTCCACTTCATCCCCAAAGAAAAATCATTTTCCAATTGAGCAGAACTTAGGCCTTGACAACCGACTCAACATGGGGATAGAGAGGCAGAATATTTTATTGGCATTGGCATCTGGTTGAATGATGCATACCTCAATCTCATGGGCCTGATGGACTGATAGACCTTAGAGGCACAGATTCTTTTCCCTTCTCTTTTTCATGTACAAGACAGGGGATGCAATTTGATGAGAAAGCTACAGTGTAATTATAGATTTATGTTGAAGGCAGGGCATACTTGTAACCAGCAGGCCAAATGTATTTTGTGTCAGAGGAAGGACACAAGTTGTTAGAGGCTGTAGAGTATTACCGCATTTATTATTATATCTTTATGTGGAGCTGCTTTTCTAACCTAGCACTGGGACATGGTACGTGCTCTATATGTATTGATTGATTATGTGGTTTATATATGTTGTCAAGCTGTTTTGCTGCATATATCCAACATTTCTAAAGTCAAGTCAGGTAGTGTATTTGCCCTCCCTGACCTCGTCATTGAATGTATATTCCGACAATTATGATTGCGATTAGAGCTTAAACTATTAGTTGATGAAATGATTAATCAATCAACAAGAAATTAATCACCTACTGTTTTTGACAGTCAGCCCTTGAGTCACTTTCTCAAGCAAAATTGCAAAATCTGTATTTTGTAATTTTTTTATAATGTATTTTTTGACTAACAACTAACTAATTCTGATGACAATGTTAAACATTAAGCCGCTAAAAAGTTTTTTTTTTTTTTTTCTTTTTTAGTAAAATTCTAAAAGCCAGATATTTTTCTCTGTAGTTTTTTGGGAGTAAAATGTAACTGGAAATAGACAAACATTGGAGTTCCATTTGTTAGGTGGCCAGAAACACAGATCTAAATGCATGCTAATGTCGTCAAACTAAAACTCAATAAAAATAAATAAATAAAATGAATAAATTGCAGCTTTAAAAACCAGCTTGAGTTTTCAACTGGAGGTTTAAAGCTGAAGGAAAAAAGAAACCAAGATTGGCTTGAGGGAAGCACAAGTACTAAGTGTGCAGCATGGTAGATCTAATCCGTATGTCAAGGGACGAGTGCTGTTACTTTGCCTCTCTGCCTGCATGGTAAGAGTGTCAAGCTTTGCACCAGTATCTCATTAGGAGAAGGACAGCTGTGCAGAGGCGGACAGCCTGCTTCCAGAGACACCGGTTGAGTCACAGTAGGCCAACGACCAATCGGGGAACACTTGCTACATGCTGCATGACTCAGAGAGCCTCACACGCCGGCTCGCTCGCAAATTCAGATACGGATGCTGTCTAATTCTTCATCAGCAAAGAAAGTTTTTCTGACAGTTCGAGGCAGAGAAGAAGCAGCTTGTATGCTGTCACTGCATCTGTTAGGGCTGTTACCGAGGTTGTTATCAGCCCTGGCAAGCGGGCTTCTGCTCGGGGAAATGTCCTCTGTTCCGGTTTTCTGGACTCCATAAACATCTTTGGAAGCCAAGCTCCACCAGGGTTGGAACTCGCGGGTTTGGGTTGCTTTGAGCCAAGTGCCCAGAGACTCCACTGAGCGGCTTTGATGGCAGTCTGTGTTGTGGAAATTGGTCTAGAGCTCTCAAAGCTCATTCTGTGTGTCCCCAGCTGTGGTGCTCCGCTTTGACCAACTCTTAGTTTTGTGCGGAAAAAACACTTTTAAGACACAGTTACCGAGACCAGCCCCGCCTCAGTGGAAGGTCCTATAAAAACTGCTTAGGGTTTCCTTTTGAATACTAACTGCAACTGGTTGCTGCTGGCTGAGTGGCTCTGACACTAGAGGGCAATATGCAGGCTGTACTTCATGCTAGAGGGTAGGTTTTATAAGGCTAAACGTTTTGATGGATGAAAACATATTTGAGAAAATATTTGGGCCTCCAGCCAGGTATCTTATTAAGTCAGCTGAGTAAGACAGCATAGCTTTCATCCTATCTGACAAAGAAATCAACCAGATATTTGTCCTGAACTTAGGTTACTTAGCTGTCTTTCATATTTCACCCAAAGGCCACCCAAAGCATCAAATATTCATACACTTGTTCTGCAAGCCACCAAAAATTCAAGGTAACATGCAGCCTAAAAATAAGAGCCATAATCATGTACTAACACCACAGAGAATATGGTGATACAGGCAGTGCTTGCTTTCCACATTAAGATGTATCAGGAGTGTCCATATTGCACAGACTCTCCAGCTTGACTCCTTAGCAGCAGCCACCTTCAACACAGCCTGCTGTTGGCAGCTGCCTCTGGGCAGGACCCCTCGGCCAATCAACTCCCCTCCGCCTGAAGGCAGGCCTCGGCTCTTCTCTCGCTCCACTACCTAGAACTGCAAGCCGGCCTGTCAATCACACTACTAGGCCCCACTGTGCTGCCTGACCCACTGGCACTCTTGCCATGGCAACACAAATCCCAGCAGACCTAGCTGTCAAGAACAGGAGTTCTCAGAAATATGAAAGACAAGAGTCTGTGATCCGGTGTACACGCATGGGGTTTGTGCCCCGGACCAAGATGTCTCGGTCACTTGAATGATTCATCCCCTATGTGTTAGTCTTTTGATTTTTGTGAAATATAGTAATAATATTAATAAGCCCAAAAGAAACTTAAAATAAAGATCTCATAATCAAATCGCCCCAAGAAAAATGTGCTTAAGCAAAATTACAAATTTTGCTTGCTCAAAGGAGGCTAGGAGGAACACAGAGGGAAGCACTGTGTGAGCTCTCTTTAAAATCAAAGTGGCAAACAAGACTGTTATTTGTTCAGGGTAATAGTTTCTCCAAGCACCCTCAAACAATACTCAGCATAAGAATCAGCAGCAGTGCAGATGGAGTTCCTCCACGGTTGCCTTTGCTTCATATATAAAGGCAGAGGAGAGATTATTTCAAATCTTGGCCAAACATTGGCCACAGTTATGCCGGTCTATTGACTAACCAATGGTGCTTTAAAAAAGAGGTTTGATTAAAAACCTTCCATCTTCATCTTGCTGCCTAAAACAGTTTTTTAGCCTTTAGGGTGAAATTTATAACAACACTGACAGCTGTGCACATTGCCTGTATTTGTTGTTTTTCATCATTGAATTTGTTTTTAAAAATATGAGAGAAGAATCTAAAATGGAAAATTGGTAAAAAGAGATTTAACAAATTAAGAACAGTGTAATTCCCAGTTTGTAGTTATTTTAACATTAAACTATGATATTATAGGAAAATACATTTGTGCTACCACTGTAGCTCAACATTAGTAATCATTTCTGGTGAAATTGCTATGTTCAATTTACTGCAGCACAATCAGCCATTATAAGTAGTAACTGTTATTACTGGCTAGGATTTAACCGAAGATTTTGATCCATTTGTCAAAAAATTCAGCTAACTCTTACAAAAGTGGTTTTCAAACTTAGGTCTGGGGACCAACAGGGGTGCTTGAGGGGGTTGTAGGAGGTCCCCAGCAAAAAGAGAAATAGAATTTTGTAACTTTTATCACATTTTTTGGAATTTGGAACAACAATGGAAGAAATAGGGTTGGCTGTTTTGATTGATTGTGATTTATAAAGATCTTATTTTGGGTATTGATTGACTTTGAAGACGTTATTATTTTCAGACCTGAAAATGGGGAAAAATACTCAGAGGGGATTCTGGGATCCCCTGCCTAGCTTGTTTTGTGGCTAGTTCTTAAAGCTGCATTAATTTATACATTTTTGGTCGCTAGCAGGCAATGGAGCGAGACATAAACATACAAAAACATTAGACGTTACACTTTCTTTACCAGCTAGCTACAAAATGTTATATCTGCTGTACAGTAGGTCTTCAGCGTCAGTAGGGAAGCTTTGGTACATACAACCCTTTTGAAATAAAGAAAATATTTAAAAGAAATTAACAAATAGTATAAATAATAAATTAACAGAAAAATCTGACTTTTTCATGTGTCATGAGGGGTTGTGGACTAATGGCCTCAGTAATGTTAAAATCCTGTCTACAGCCCTCATTTCTTTCCAAGAACCTGCAACCCAGTGGTTCTTGTAGCCCCCACTTTATGTTGATGTTGATGTTGATGTATTACTGATAGAATGTTTATCAGTCTTTACAAATGTTGGGGAAGTACTAGTAAAATATGCCAAGGTGAATTAAATGGAAATTAAAAATATATTCAGTTTAGCAAAGTAGCCTTGCTAGCATCACAGAGCCCTCTTGATTGTTTGCTGTCCACACACAAACCATAATCAACCATCATTTCTTTCCACTTGGTCATCCATGCCCCTCTCCATTGGTTCTGTGCCCCCCCAGTGTCCACTGCACTAACCAGTCCTTTTCTGTAGTAGTGGCTTACTGCTCATTAAATGTCTCTCTCTCTGCTACCTTGTCTTACAGGTCATCCTGATCCTGACCAAGTACTACCACGCTGACTCCACCAAGGTGCTGGAGAGCTCGCTGTGGAGGTAGGCCAAACGTTTACACCATGTTTGCTCTCACTGGATGTCTTTATGTCATGTCTGGCCTCAGACTCACGCAGACCTTTCATCAGCAAGCAGCTTCCCTTTAACAGCGAGGTCAGTGCAGGTCTCGGTTATCTCTCCGCTGTGCTTCTTCAAGGAGACAAGAGTGATACGGAGTGCTGAGCGGACAAAACATCAGCAGGCAGCTACGAGTAAAGTGGGGGACCGGAGAGTGGCGCTGCGAGGCCAGAGCGGGCATCTGTTTGGGCAGATAGCATATCAGCATGGCACAGGGCAGGACGACGGGCACCGGCAGTGCCAGGGAGAGGGGTCAAGTCTGGCTGGCAGAGCTTCCTCTATTTAGCAAGGCTGTCTCTCGCCAAAAACACTTCACACTTCTCTCGCTTTTGAGCGGTGGAAAAACCAATGCATTCCGCTCAACTTCACAACAAGAGTATCTTGTTACTTACATATATTCTCATGGAATATTAATTTCCTCTTTATTCTACATCCACTCCCTACCAGCTCCTGGGGTGCTGCTCTGTAGCTGAGCATGTCCTTCTCATAGATAACAGTGTGGAGGAAACTTAATTATATTCAAATTTCCTCATAAAAACTTAGAAAATAGACAAGACAGGGCTCATAACACTGGCTAAAATTAGCCGTCTAGAAGGCATTCGCACAGAGCAAAACGTGTCTGATGGTGGTACTTAATTCATGCCATTCACCTCACTGAGGGCTCCATGACTTCAAAGCTTCAGCCGCTCATTAGCTCTGACTGCCTGTCTCCCTGGAGGACAGATATGAATAATGTACATATTTTTATCCTTCCCTTGTTGATGTTTTAATTGTTGCAGTGTATGAATAATGCTGCAGATTCACCACTGGACAGCCCACTTGAGAAAGAAAAAAACACAGCAAGTGGTTGAATTTAATCTGAATTGAACCTAAATTGGCAGAGAAAGAAAAAGCTGGCCGTCTGCCTGTTGGCATCATTGTCTAAAAAGCAGAAATTACCATGAAATTAGCATGTTTCCAAGAGGACCCATAAGGCTCTCTGACCACGTCTTGGTAGGTATTATGTGTGGGGTGTACCTCAGTTCCTTGTAGCTGTCAGCTTGGCGTGGTGTGTGGACAGCCACAATCCACTGGCCTATAGGCTTTGAAGTCCCAGAGCTGTAGGATCAAACAAGGGAGATGGGGGAAGATGAATGGGTTTGCCGTCTTGGCCTGTCAGGTGGCGTAGATCAAGATGCCAGGTTCCACACAGGGGGAAAGTTAACAGCACAGAGAGGAGAAAAGTTTTTCAGGGCAGCCGAGTTAATGAACTAAGGCCCTTTTAGATCAGCGGTGGTCTACAGAGGCTTGTCTTCTATCAATAGGCAAAGCACACAATCTGTGTCTTCACAGTTGAACACATACAACTGTTAGTGGCCAATGTGGATTCAACCCAAACAACTGGGTATCAGCCAGTTAGTGTCATTCACTTATGCCCTGAGAAAGGACCAGAGAACTCATTCAGACTGAAGTGTGTTAGCTGGGAAAACTTCTCTCACTGTGCTTAACTACCTTCAATTATTTTTGATGGAATTTTTGTTGATCACAATGGCCATATCATGTCAATCAAACATCTTGTGACTCCCTAAATAGTAATGGCAGCAATAACATGACATAGTCATAGCATAATTTGTCCGAGTGGATAGTTGGGTGTACAAATGGTGACTTTTTAGCTGTTTGCGCCATCTACTACCAACACTGGAGGTTGGTTTCTGACTGTACACCATGTTGGTGATCAAACCACAACCAAGTAGTTGTATTTGCCTAAAGATGATAACTATACAGTTGATAGATCGGTCATTGGAGGTACAAAGACTTTCATCAGTCATCAGAAGAAGGTCAGTCAGTATAAACTACATCATGTCTGTTCAAAGTTAAAACAAGATTTATTTCAGAGAAAACAGGACTGATAAAGTTGCCAGCTCCTTCCTTCTAATCATAGCCATAACCACACTTCGTTCCATGTCTATGTTTCCCAGTGTGCTGTGGAGACTTTTGTCTGTCCCCAGGCTTTGGCATCAGTGTTGGCTCCTTAACCACTCCTGCCTGTTACTCCTGTATGTCTGTCCTCCAGTTTGTTGTGGCAGGGCCAGGTTCCCAGGCTATCACACAGCTGATAAAGGAGCTCCAAACATCTCACTTGTCGCGTGAGAATGTCTCTCTTTGTGAAGAGAGAGGGGAAAAAAAGTGAGTGGCAATTCATGGACCACCTGAGGCTTTACCAGGCAGTTTATGCATGTCTTTCAAGTACGCAAGTAAGAATATGAGAAAATGTATCTGTAGGAAGATTACTTATCCATGTGAGGCTGTAGAACTGCCTGTTCGCAAAATGCTTTCTTTTTTTCTTTCTAGGTAATATGAGCTTCAGGTTGTTCAGAGTCTGGTCAATAATTGATGTTGTAGTGGCAGTGATGTTGTGTTTTTCTTTGGCTGAGGTAAATTACAGCAGTCAGAGGTCTGGACCCCTGAAGTTAGAAGAGATACACTGGACACTTAAAACTCTGGTGTCCTGCTGCATGCATGTGTGTTATAGCTACACATCTGTTTAATGTCTGTGGACTACTACCAACCTCTATTCTGCAGTCTTATTAGACCAGTCAGGGGAATTTCCCAACCTTCAACAATATTTTAGTCATTTAGTTTTTAGTTTAAACATGCTACATTAACCATTATACCAGCAGTAAAACATTAAGGACTCAGTATGCTTCAAAAGTGTTGTTTGAACAGTGTTTATGCCATTGTAGCCTCCTCCTGGCTGCATCCCATTGCCTCCAGGATCTCTCTCTAAGAACACTGTAGCTTTTGTGTGTCTTGTGTTTTTGTAGACATGACAGAATTAACCCTTCCTAAATCCCACCCCTTTTTGCTCTGTGCATCAACAACAGTTGAGTAAGCCTCGGTCAACTTTCTCCTTTCCTGTACTAAGATATGCTATGTGCTACAGGATTTTCTGATGCTGTTAGGCAATCCAACAAGTGCTTTGTTTGAATCATACTGAGACCTTTACTGCAAAGCTTTTTGAGATATTAACTTGAAGTAATTAGATAATCTCTAAGAGTATAGATAACCTTCTTTTTCATGTTGTAGAGGAACATGCGGGCACTAATTCTAGTTCCAAGATATTACAGCTTACAGAGTTTCTGGCAATGGCAGGTGGTGGATAAAGTGACATCCACAATGAGTTCCTACTCTCCGTCTTGCTTGAGGACACTTCAACAAGATATTTGCCTGAATCTGTCTCTCATGTCGACTTGTCCAGACTTATGCCTTAAATACAGATCAAATTCAGATACGGCATCAGAGTAAACAGAGAGAAAGGTGCTTGTAGATTTGGCAAAGACATGAGGATTTGCCACTGCATTACCAAACTCTGTGATGACTGCAGACTGACAGAACTCTCCTTAAGACTGTTGCTCCAAGTGGAGCCATGAAATACTCAGTAAAGCTTTTTTGATCCTCAGACTGAAAGGAGCAGATGTGCACTTCACTTTTTTTGGCTTTGAATCCTCAGTGCAAGAATTTCTCAATTTTAGATGGTACATAGTGGCTCAAATATCAGGCAGTTAGTGCCGTCCATTTGTGATTTGATGGATAGAATTGATTGTAATATCATATTTGGTCAGATTACCACATAATATCCTGATTTTAATGTCTCCAAAGGGCTAAATCCAGTTTTAGAGGCTTCTAAAACCTTAAAATGAAAAAAGGTTCTATATTGGAACATCCCATTGTTTTATAAGATATATACTGGAATTGTAATTTTTGGGGCTCTAATCCAGGTATATTGGCTATTGGAAGCTTCGCTCCCCTCTAAATATTGGCTTTTAGCCTTTGAAACAGACCTAGAGAAACACATATAATCTAAGTATTTATATTCTCACTTTTGGTTTTAAAAAGTTGTTTGACCTCAAGTACCCCCACAGTAATCATGCACTCACATAAACAGGGTGTTGGTGTGAGAGTTGGGGGGTATATATAATTCATGCTGTCTTCACACATCTTTTGAAGAGGCGAGGGGGGCTGGTAGCCATCGCGCCGGGGGGCTCCACTGCTCCATTATGGATGAAGAGATCGTCTGACAGGCCAGCACTTCTATGTACAGTAGATCAACCACAGCACACTTCCACAAACACAACCGTTGACAATATGTCCGTCATATATGCTAAACTGAGTTGCCTTATCAACCATAACCAACAAGCCAACTTAATTGATATTCATAATTGTAAATGCTTCACTCCAAACACAACATATTTGGGAAAATTAGGTTTACGAAGAAATTCTGCAAGCATGTGTTTATATGTATGCATAAGGATCTGCATGTATATCTATATGGATCTGTATTGTATACTTGCATATATTTTGTGTGTGTTGTTTTGTATGAAAGAGGGATATTTGTCTGTTGCTATGGATTTGTATGTGAATATTTCTGCACTGCTGTAGTTTTTTGTGCTATTTGTTTATGGGTGACATCAATTGAATGACAAAGAGAGAGAGCGAGGGGGGAGAACTGGACAGGAGGGGAGGAGAGCAGATCAAAATTGCCTCCAGGGCGTCTTTAAGATGAACTGTAGGGGGCATCATACTTCAGACGGACAGACATCAGTCCTCCAACATCCACACCTCACCCTCCTCTCTCCGCATGGACTCAAATTCAAAATGTTCGTCTTCTTTCTCTGTAACAAAAGGCGCTCTTCAAAGCTGCGTTCAAGAAGCAGAGCAATCAGGGAGATCATAAGGGATGATACAGGAAGTTTAAGCTTTGATGATTCCTGTGGGGAAACTGGGTCATGATAACGTAATACATTACAAAAGAGAGTAAGAAAAGTGTGCTATTTCTTTTTCTAAATCATGTCAACACAGAAATGTTGACATGATTGACACATTCATTATTAGGCATTTGAATAATTACTGTTAACTGCTGAGATGATTGGCAGCCACTTCATTCT